CTCCCAACCACATTAATAAATATTGACATAAGTAACTAAGGAGCATATGATAGAAATCTACAAAATCATACACAGTGTAGAGAAGGTGGGCTGGGGAGAAAGTATAGCACTTTTCTCTCTTTTCCATACCAGAACTCCATCCAATGAAATTGAATTACAGAGGATTCTGTATTACAGTATTACAGGTAGATTCTGTTTTACAGGTAGATCCAATAGGACTGTTCTTGTGTTAAGGGTGAAGGGTTGCAGCTGCAACAGTATAGAGAATGTGAGCTAAGAAGGAGGTTCCAAGCTAGAAAATATGATAAAGTTATGCACAGGGAGGACTAAGTGTCAAGGAGTACAATTAGCAGGTTTTTTCTAGGAGCAGCTCGTGAACCTAAGTAGTGCCAATTCAGCGGGGTAGCATTTCTGTTAAGGTTGCAAATGGACAAAATTGTGCTACACTAAACTTACTGGTTTCACAGGGTAAAGAAAACCAGCTCCTATCCCCTTTTTATAATTTTTTCTGGACAAGACGGCTGGCTTCTTCTCTCTTCTCCCTTACAAAAAACAACAACTCCCACCATTCCTTCCTAATGTGTTTTAGCAAATTAATGATTTGTGAATCCTTGATTCAAAGCATCTATTTTACAAGCTGCCGTGAACATTCTTGAGGAGAGTGAATATGACTATCTATTGAAAATTAGATAACATAATTAGTTGCTCATTTAGAAGCAGAGAGAAAATGAGTAATCATCTTAGTCTATTGCCCTTGTGTCTTATGGCCCAGTAGCCATAAGATGACTTTTATTTCAACAACACAGAAGGGATTTTAAGAATTAGATTCATATAATTGAATACATTCATAGAATAAGGGTGATCTAATCAAATTTAATAAAGTAGCTGAAAATTCTGTCAGAAATCATGTAATGTAGGAAACAAGGGTCAACACTGTGCCTATGATGGGCAGTAAGCCTTGTTAGCACTTCTGGAGACGTAACACAGTGTGCTGTTTTATAGCAAGTGGCTATATTTTTTTCAGGAGTTATAGTTTGGTCTACAATAATAAAAACTAGTAATTACCACCAACAAAGAGAACTCCCATATTGCCAAAGTCTTCATTTCCATTAAATGATTAGAAGAATCAGTGGTGCGGCTGCCCACTAGGCCTGGTGAGGATGCTAGGAGTTCATGGGGTGCAGCCAAGTTGTTTTGGTTTTCTCATCATCATCCTCCCTTGCTATTGTGGACACTTAAGAACTTCAATTTTACAAATAGCTTTTAAATTTAAATTTAATTTTGCCAAAATGTTTTTTTACCGTCACAACTCTGTAAAGTAGACCATTGTGCAACTTGAGCAAAACAACAAAAAGAACAATACTACTACCTTAACGACTAACAAATTTATTATGGCCTAAGGTTTTAGGGACTAAAATGCACAGGATCAGATGTCTCATTTTTTGTAATCCATGCACGCTTAAGGAATAATACATTTTGCTAGCCTCTAAAGTGCTACTTTAGAAACTACACCGCAGTTTCATTTCTGCTGTAAGCCATTGCTAGTTGTATAACATTTCTGAACAAATCAGATAAAAGCAGCAAGATGGTTCCATGTAAATGCTGAATAGCATGGGAGACAAGAACTCAGAATATTAAAAACCCCACAGAACTCAGAATATTAAAAGCCAGGGGGCTAAGCCACAGTCTCCCAGCAACTTCTTCTGAAAGTTGCTCTCCAGATAGGAATGTAACCACTTCACAGCAGAGTCTCTAATTCCCAACTCAATCAGCCAATCCAGCATGGTCTATGGCAGGGGTTGTCAACCTGGTCCCTACCGCCCACTAGTGGGCATTTCAAGATTCTAGGTGGGTGGTAGGGGGTTCTACGGCACAAGCTGAATCCTCCTTCCATCGAGCACTGGTGGGTGGTAAGGAAATTTTACTATCAAGAAAGATGCATTAGTGGGTGGTAGGTATAAAAAGGTTGACTACCCCTGGTCTAAGGACACGTGTGGCACTGTGGTCTAAACCACTGAGCCTTGGGCTTGCCGATCAAAAGGTCAGTGGTTCAAATCCCTGTCATAGGGTGAGTTCTCGTTGCTCGGTCCCAGCTCCTGCCAACCTAGCAGTTCGAAAGCACACCAAAAAGTGCAAGTAGATAAATAGGTACCACTCTGGCAGGAAGGTAAGCGGCGTTTCCGTGCGCTGCTCTGGTTCGCCACAGAAGCAGCTTAGTCATGCTGGCCACATGACCCGGAAAAACTGTCTGTAAAGCGACATGACCCGGAAAAACTGCCTGTAAAGCGAGATGAGCACTGCAACCCCAGAGTCGTTCACGACTGGACTTAACTGTCAGGGATCCCTTTACCTTTACTTTTACCCCTGGTTATGGAAACCAAAAGCCACTGAAAGTGGCAGAAAAAATAGTAAGGTCACACTCTCCTCTGGTCTCCCAACCAGATAACATATCAGGGTAACCAAGGCTGTTTTAGTGATGGAAATAGATCATAATGAGATTGAAATGGATCTAGATAAGTAGCCTCGTCTAAGAATGCTAGATAGCACCTTGTCCAGTAAAAATCTTTTCTTTTGTATCCTATGGATGTGCACATATAACCCACCAGAGGGAGCATGAACATAAGAATGAAAAAGTAACAGCCAGAGACATATGAAAATCTTAAACCAGGAATGGCGAGCCTGTGGCCCTCTAGATATTGTTGGACTGCAACTCCCATCATACCTAACCATTAGCCACGCTGGTTACAGCTGATGGGAATTGGAGTTCGACAACATCTCGCAAGCCACAGGGTCCCAGTTCCTTAAACTGTAACCAAAGAGGTTTAGATGGTATATTAGAAAGAACTTTCTAAAATATACGTCAACCTTAAAAGCAGCCATTGCTTCAACTGGGTTTGGAATGCTAAGCAATATAAAATTTACATTGCATTCCAGATGTTTTCTCTCTATGCTATATTTTTGCATAAAGTTTATGTCACACGCTGTGCTCATTGTATACAAACAGCATACAAAAAGCTCCAAATCAATTTAGGTTTCATATGAGAAAACACTTTAAGGCTGCTGTCCTAAGCATAATCACATGAAAGTAAGACCTACTGAACTGTGTGGGACTTACGGTACTTCTGATTAAACATGCTTAACTGGTGGGATAGTTTTTCCTGATTCAGACAATTCTGTAAAAGCTACAGAGACAACATTCCAATTTGAACTGTATAACAGTAACAAAACAATAATATACAAAAGTGCAGTAATATTTCTGCAGAGAACTGTGAGTTTATGAAAAAGACTTTCAATGTTGTCATATGGCACCAGGACTGCTTAGTCCAGGAAACAAGAAGGTTCTGAAATAATGTATTTCCTTAAAGTTATGTACTCCCAAAAATAGAATAAAAGGCCTGGAAAAATCCAAGACCATTGGCAGACTGAAAGCCTAATCATTGCTGCCACCCAGGAATCTGATTCTTTCTTTAACTCTGAAGGACAAAATAAAGTAGCAGGCGTCTATTCATTTGACAGACACCACATTGGGAAGGAAAGTCATTAGGAACTTTAGAGCAAGGTGTCTATTGCTCCCTAACATCTGAATGAGGATATATGAAAGCTCTGAATATATGAAAGCTCATATGAACATATGAAAGCTCTGGATCGGTATCTGAAAGTGCCAATAAACTGTTGATTCCTGGAAAGATGGAGTCTCTTTGGATAGGTAGTTTCTGTGTGCAGGAGATAGGCAACTTATCAGTTGCAAGATAAGAAAGAACAGGTGCATAGCTTGGGGATACTCCTCAACACATCTCTGTCACTAGCGTGTCAAGTGTCCTCTGTGGCTAGGAGTTCCTTTTACCTACTCTGCCTATTTCACCAGCTATAGCTATTCCTGGAAAGGAACAGCCTGGCCACTGTAGTGCATTCATTGTTGATCTCAAGGCTGGATTACTGCACTCTGTATGGGGCTTCCTTAAGGCCTGGATCAGAAGCTTTTGCTGGTGAGGAATGTGGCACTCAGACTGTTGATGGAGGCACACTGCCAACATCATGTGGCATTTTTGTTAAAACATCTGCACTGGCTGCATATCTACGACCAAACCAGGTTCAAAGCCATTGTATTAATTTTAAAAGCCTTAAACATCTTATGTCCAGAGTACCTTAAAGACCACCTAAACCCTTCTACCTGGCTTGATCACTGAACATCATTAGTCTTCCCCAGAGCTGGCAAGGCTCACCTGACAGCAACATGAAACCGAGCCTTTGGTGTTATCAACCCTGTCCTGTGGAATGCTCTGCCAACAGAGATTCAGCAGGCACCCTCTATTTCAGCCTGCAGAGAACCTTTCTCTGCTATCAAGCTTACACAGGCAATTAAGAATACATCTGATTTTAATTTTTAATGCACTTTTATTCTGTGCAGCTATTATTGCTGTAAACTGGTTGGAGATGGCTTACGCTATAGCAGTGTATAAGTACTTTTATAAATAAATCAAATGAATAAATAACACGTGCATTTAAAGCTGCAACATCACTGCCAGAGGAGATGTACCTCTCCTCCGTCCTCCACAAGCCTGCCTACCCCGCGTATACATTCATGCAACGCCTTAGATCGATTTATTAAACTATAATAGCAGAGTAAGCTGCCACCAGCCTCTACGTTGCTGCTTTTGCTGCTGCAGCCTAACCCGGCCGGCCCCTCTGAGAACGGATAACACGGCAGAATCTCCGAATAAGTGACCCGGCGGGTCACACGCGCGGATTGTGAGGGACCCAAAACGAAGCTGGCTGACAAAAACACAAGCAGGTCCCTCCTTCGCCCGGCAGCCCCGAAAAGCGCCCACAAGCGGCGGAGATGCTGCGCTCCCCTCCCTGGAAGCGGCCGCTCCGGGCGCCCAAACGCAGCCGGCATCCTCTTCGTCGTCATGGCAACCGGACAACTTGCAGCCTCCCTCCCTGGCTCCCTCCCTCCTTCCCCATCTCGCCCCTCGCTTCGCAGCGGCAAACGCACACACCTCACCGACCCCGCGGCCCTGCCGTGGCGGCTTTTTCCCGCCTCTCGGTCCCCGGCCGGCTCTTCAGCCCCTTCGCGCATGCAGAAACTTTTCTCCACAGCCGCCCAGCCTGGGCACCGCGGGTAGTACAGGGGCCTCGCAGGGACAAAGTAGCGCAGAGCGCGGAGACGTTCCTCCCTGCAACCCCCTCCCCCCCGCCCTCCTCAGAGGCCGGCCGGCCCCACCTCAGGGAGGAGGAGGAGGAGGAAGGGGCGGTGGGACTTTCCCGTCTCCCCCTCGCTTTTCTCTCGGTAACAGAAGGGCGGGCGTTACCTCAGCCGACCGGCGCTCTGAGAGAACTTGCTCTTCGCTTTGAAAAAAGTTGCATTTCAAAAACCGGCTGCAGCCGCCGCTCTGCCCCACCATTCCAGCCTCTAAGGAAACTTAGCAGGGCAATCTGGGAAGTAAATAGCAATGAATACCGTGGATCTTTCCCCTCAGAAAATAGGCTGGGAGTCTCTCAGCTCCCTGCGAAACTTGTCCGTTGGGATTGTCCTCTTTGTGAACTGATTTCGTGAGGCTCACTTGGCTCCGCAGTTCTTATTGCTGCTGCTGCTGCTTGGATGCTCTTTGGAGTGGTGTGCTCAAGACATGGCCCCAGGAAGCAGGAAAGAGCCACTTGCACCGAGTACCATAATGTGCAATTCCTGCATCTTCTAGTTCCTCACTTAGCAAGGCTGCTTTGTAAAGTTTCAAATGCCTTGCAAGGACTTACAGTATAAGCCGCAGACTGCCCCCTGACGCGGGGTTGTTGGAAACAAGAGGGTTAAAGGAGCTTAGGCCGAGGTGGGGGGCGCCCAGCCCAAAATACTTCGGTATCTGGAGGGGGGACAACCCCACTAGCTCCCACACCTCAGTGCAGCTTGCACAGGAGAACAATAGAATTGTAGAGTTGGAAGGGATCATGAGGGTCATCTAGTCCAACCCCATGCAATGCAGGAATGTTTCACCCAGTGTGGGGCTCAAACCCATGATCCTGGGATTAAGAGTCTCATGCTCTACGGACAGAGCTCAAATTATTGTGTCCTGTAAATCAAATATCCCACTCTGATGCCACTTTTTAACAGTGCCAAAAATATGCCCGTTTGAGGCACCCTCTTCATCTTGCCTCACAACAGGATCACTTCTGAGCTTTTTAAACAACTTCTAACTGTGTGGCACTACATTATCTCTTTATTGTAGCAGGAAAACCCTCAATCGACACAAACAGCGCAATATACAATTTGCATAAGGGAGATTACAATCTTGCTATGAGGAATGGGTGCTCTTTGCAACTCCTTACCTGTTATGCAGTCATTATGTCAGGAGTTCCTAAACTGTGGTCCATGGACCACAAGTGGTCTGCAAGTTTCATTCATGTGGTCCACAGTGTGTCTATCGATTTGTGGTTGAAGTCAATAGACATCAATCACATCAAATATTCATGTTGATTTTAATTGTATTTTTATTGCTTTTATTTCTTATATTGTGTTTTTGGTATTACAGTTTCAATGTTAATAGACACACAAGTTAATAAGACATAAAAGAAGCAGTAAAATACAACTAAAATTGTACAGCGTCTAGCACAGCACATTACAACTACTACTACAGTCAGGAAAATCATCAAGTGGTCTGTCAAGACCCTCAACAATTTTCAAGTAATCCATGTGGAAAAAAGTTATGTCGACTAGAAGGGTGTTGTCACTGAAAATTTATATGTGCAGAAATAACATGTGATACAGTCCTTTCTCGGCTGTAGCAGGGTCCAACTGCAAGTGCATTCTTTGCACATTTGGATCATGAGTAAATCAGGTAGATGACTCATCTTATTGACGTTAGCTTTTCATGTATAGAAAGGGAAACATTCAAACACGGTCTGAAGTAGTTACATAGATACACAATCTCCCAAGGAAGAGGTAACAATTAGCATGGGGGAGGTAGATGTGTATACACATTCCATCTTTTAGGTGGTGTCACCTGTGCTAAACGTTCTGGTGTATCATTTGGTCTAACAGAGATGAACAAAATTTTATTGTGCTTGACACTGAAAAATTGTCCATCGTTCAGGGGCAGCCAGGAGCATATCCTTGAAGAATGCAACCTGTATTTATTTACTAATACAAAATAGCATTACCGTAAGCACTGAACAATGGGCTGTGGTACAGTGACCTTTTCCAAGCTCCAAACTATTGTGAGCCACAGTTGCAGGTTAAATAAATGATATTTACCTTAGATAAATGAAAGGGTCAAGACAAATTCCTGTTGTAAGTAAGTACTACAATAAAAAAATTGTGTTTACCAGGGCTAGCTATAGTAACAATCTTGATTACATCATAATCTTTACACAGCAATTCTATATGTGTCAGAAGTTAGCTAATTATGGTGCCAGATGTATCTCTGTGGAGAAGGAATTCCACAAACTAGGAGCTGCCAGAAGGAATGCCCTTTCCCAGGCCACAGAACTTCTGAGGGCAGTGGAACTACCAAGAGGGACCTCTCTGCCAATTTTAACATCCAAGAGGTCTGTGGGGAAAGAGACAGTCTTTCACATATTTGTGGCCTGAGTCATTTAGGGTTTTATACACTAACTTAAGCATATTGAATTGGGCCCATAAATTAATAGGCAGCCAATGCAGCTGTTTTAAAGCCAGGATTATATGAGAACTAAATGGAAACCCAGCCAGTAATCTGTCCACTGCGTTTTGGACAACTGAAAATTCAGAGCTGTTTTCAAGGGCAGCCCCACCGCATAGTGCTTTCCTATTATCCAATCTGGAAGTTACCAGACCATGGAGTATTATGGCCAAGTAAGCTCTGTCCAAAAGTGGCCATGTTAGCAAACCAGCGTTAGACTCTCCTAGCCACTAAGGGCACTTGAGCCTCAAGGAACCATATTGAATCCAGAGTACACCCAAGCTATGAACCGGCTCCTTTCAGGGAAGTGGAACCCCATCCTCAACAAGCTGTCTTCCCACCTCTTGGACTCAAGAACCTGGAACACGTAACACCTCTGTCCTTCCAGGATTCAACTTTTTGGCCCTCATGCAGCCCATAACTCCTTCCCAGCACCTGTCTAGCACCTCAACCATCACTCCTAATTCAGATGGGACTGAAAGATAGTTTGCCATCCTTATACTCGTGACACTTCACTCCGAATCATTTGATGACAGCTCCCAGTAGTTTCATATAGTTGTTAAATAGCATGGGGAACAAGATGGAACTCTCCGCAACACTACAGCAAAGCTCCTATACTAACATATTTGGGCTGCAATCCAAAGAGATGATACCAAGCACATGACAGAGAACTATGCATGCAACTGAAGTTTTACTTGCTGCTTCAACCACAGCAGTTCCTACTATCAAAGGGCTAAGTGACTGATCACATTTTAAAGCGACTTGTTTCTTCAGCAACTGCAAGAAGTTCTCTCCAGCATCCATATTTCACATCTTCAGATCACAGCCAAGGCAATTATGTCCTTGCTTCTTGACAGTGCATATGCTGGATAAATACATTTTAAAAATCCCTCATTGTAATGTTTAAATACTAGCCCCATTACAAGTATAATTAAAAAGAATGCATGGTGGTTTTTATGCTATATTAATATCATTCTTTATGAAGTCTTGTTGACCTAGTATCACAAGCTAGTTGATTTATCAACTCCTGGTTTCTCCCAGAATGATTTTTTTAAAATGTGATTTATTACATGTAACTAATATGCTAATTCATTTATAGTACATGTAGCATAGAGTAGCCAATGATGGGTCCTTAAAGAAAGTGATGTACACTCAAGGAATACACACACACAACACACACACACACACACACACACGTATTAAAAACTCCCTTTCCCTTCTTTGTGCATATAAGGAGTGGTTCTAGTGGTGGTGGTCCCTACTACCAAGTAAGGTTTATCTGTTCCAGCCTCCACATTGAAAACTTGAGTGTATGTGAAGTATTTGGTACTCCCAGTGTGATGCTGTGACTCTTCTAAGTTTGGTCTGCTTTTTACCTGGAACCATATGAACACATGGCTATGCTGATGTAGGATATTACTCTGATGCATTTTGAAATGTTGTCGCTGCTTACTCTTTTATTACTCTGTTTCACAATGTGATTTATATGTTGTTAGCTTTGTGCACTGATAGGTTTTATCTAAACCACTAACATTTGTTTTCATGAATATGATTCCCCATTCGAGAAGCAGTAAAACCACTTGGTACATCATCTCATAGCAACACTTGCTGCTATTTACTCTTGGCAGAAGAGAATAGGTGCCTTTGAGACTCAGGGCTTACATAATGCAGCTAAAACGGCAGGCTTTCATTTTTGGACATCTAACTCACATTTCCCTTGAGTAAATGTCTCTGCAAATATAGATGCAAATATTTTAACTGTATTTAAATAAAATACATATACAGTACCTAATAAAACACAGCTACTGCTGCAGTTTTCTAGGGGTTTTTTATTTCATACCCCCCCCACCTTTCTATAATATCACACTCAAGGCAGTATGCAAACAGAAATAGAAATACAGTAGAAATCACACAAGATTAAACCAATCCTAGCAATAAAACAAAACAAACAGTAAACGCAGCATTATAAAAATTCTTAGCAACAGGAAGCTAAAACATAATCAGAGGGTCTCTTACTATGACATGCTTGCCAAACTAAAACAGAACCCTTTTAAAATTAGGCAAAGTGAGGACTAAGTTAACCTTTCCCAGCATAGTAAATATTCTGTAGTTTACAGGCCACTACTGAAAAGAACTTCTCTCTCTCTCTCTCGCCCACGCCTTCTACACTTCTGTTGGTAAAGAGACAGTGATGAGGGCTGCAGAAACTGGTCATGAATTTCAAGTAGGTTCATGGGGGGGGGGATAATTCCTGAGAAGCACCATTATAGTAAAAGCAGTTCTGAAGTGTGTCAATTCCTAAACTAAGAATAAGGATTACTGTTATTCAGAACCACTATGAACTAGCATATAAAATGAAATGGGTACAGAGCACCTTTCACTACAGTACTGCACATATACAAAAAGTAAAACACAAAAACAGCTTAGGAACTGTAAAACAATGGTACCTGATAGTTTTAAGGGTGGTAAGTTATCAAAGCTTTTGTGTCCTGTTTTGAGGAGAATGGTGCTAAATGTTTACGTGGCCAGGGTAGTTTAATATCAAAAGTTAACTGTTATAGAACTGCCAATTCACTTTTGTAGGACAACTGAATAACCCCTGGTGTTATTTCAGAGATGGTGATAAATTTCCCAGTTCTAAAATAATTACTGCCACCTGCTGAAGCAGCAAATAGTACTCTGTGGATGGGAAAGAAATAAAAATGGGGGGGGCTGTGCTGCTTCATTGTTGGTGGATTTTGATAAGGGTCCTCCTGGGAATTCACAGAAAACCTTTTGACTAAAGGATTTTAAAGAGCTCACAATTTTTAAATAAAAAAAATCTCAAATTTGGTTATTGGTTTTTCTACCGAAGTTGATGCAGACTTCAGAGTAATAATAGGACTACTTGTCTTAGAAACAAACATTATAGCTCAATTACAAAACAAACATTGCATTTGGCCTACATGAACTGTGTCCTTGAGTATACATGACCCAGCATGCCCTTCAGGGCAAACTGGAAACTTCCATTGCTGCAGAACACAAAAAGCCTGCCTCGTAAAAAGAATAAGTCCTAACAGGCAAGCTACCAAAATATGCTTCAGTATCTGCACTGGATTCCTATTATCCACCAGGGCATAATTCTAGGTATTGATTGGCTTTGACTTTAAAATGTCTAATGGTGCAATCCTATTCACACTTACCGTACTTGGCAGTAAATTGCTGGGTCTTACTTTTGAGAAGATATATATAGGATTACACCATAACGCCTGAGTCTTAAACACACTTACTAAAGATACTCAGCGCTTTCCTCCTCTGCAACTAATTACTATCTCTTACAGCTAATAGGCACACCATTTTAGCATTTCCACCCTGCAACATTATTTAGACAGCATGGATAAGAAGCATTTTTTGTGAATGTTCTACACTAATTTTATTCACATCTGTTCAAAACTGTGATATAACAGATAAAAGTGTTGGGCATGGAACGGGGAACTGAGGTCCAAATTCAGCAATGAAGCTTAGTGGATGATGTGAACCAGTTACTCTATTTTAAACCAATCTACTTCATATGATTCTGTGAGGATAAAGGGGGATTGCCCAAATATTAACATTTTAACAAATGTGAAAAACTAATAAAGACATGCTGCCAAACACCAAACATATTTTAAATGAATTATATTACTACTATTTGTAAAACTGGTGGTAGTGGTATTCATTATATTTTTTAATAAATCTGTTCTCTGTATGCATGACTTAAATTAGTATTTGTACTGGGTGTTTTTTTTAAAGGAAGAGTTATTTTTCATTCTTTGAATGAGTTAGATATGAATGATAGCCAAGGACACAGGCAAGGAAATAATTTAGACTCAACGGTTTAAATTCTTTTTTCAATGTTTCCTTTATTTTTTCCAACGATTTGTTTTATTATACAATAAGAAAAGAGACAACTTTTTTCTACAGCATTTATTTTGAGCAATATTAACATTGAAAACAGAAAAAAATATTCAGGTGCGGCTAGTAATTCTATAAACTCTTGCTTAACGTGTTCTCTATTATAACAACCATGGATACCATATTCAAGAAATTCATATAGACTGAAAAACTCTCTTCATTTACAGCAAATCTAGTATAACCGGAAACTCACTACTCTTTGGGGGCGTTAAAATGACTCTCCTTTTAAAGAGTCAGATGAAAACCAGGACATCTAAGAAGACCACCCCACCCCACCTGCAATCACACCTGATCCCAACTAGCAGTATAGCAATTGGGATAGGGAATGAGGCTAAAGAGAGACTGCAGGGGATGTGTTATGGATGAGGCTTCACAGAGTGTTGTGTGTGGCACAGTGGGTCAGTGCATCTTGCTGTGAACCAGAAGGTTGGTGGTTCAAACCCACCCAGGGACAGCTGTGGACAGGATTCCTGCATCACAGGGGCTTGGACTAGATGAGCCTCAGGGTCCCTTCCAACTCTTATGATTCAAAGAAGACGTGAGGGTTGAGAGCTTGAGGCATTCTACTGAGTGAAACAACTGTATCTCAGCTTCTGCTATGACTTGTCTGCAAGGGATTCCTTCGCATTTTAAATTTTACTGCTCAAGTGGGAGGGTGAAAAAAGGCTCTGAAAAAGCAAAACTGATGCATCTCAGAAATAGCCTTTATCGGTCTCACTCCTATGTAGTCAGGCACATTTCAGCAATTGACTGGCTTCATAATTACCCCATATCCGTTTGCAGTACACATAGACAAAGGATTAGCATAAAGAGAACACAGTTATAATGTGAGCTGCTGGTATTAAATGGGCAGTCAAACTTCACTCCATCCACCCTCTGCCCCCCACGTTGGTTGCACCAATCCACTTCTGGTGCACAATCACCCTATATGAGTGAGAATTGAAAACAATGAGGGGGGGAGGTCCTTTCCTTTTCTAGAATTAAAGAGTAGAATTCCTGAATGCAGTTCTCGTGTTATTTCTTTCCACATTACTTTCTGGTCTTGTAAACAGAAGCAAGAACTCTCTGCTTAACTCCATGGGAAGCTTTGCTTCAACTGATGTCCAGAGATTTGGTCTTTGGTTGCCACATTTTGTTAGCAAGACAACATAACAATGGCTATAAATTGCATTGGGAACAGTGCATACTCATACCAGATGAATTTTGGATTCATTTTTTTCACTAGAGGAGACAATAGGCTTAGACACTGCCACATATGGTAAAATTGTAATGGACACTATAAATATGTGTGGAATTACTGGTGATGTTGCCAGATGGCTGTTTCCAGCTACAATCTATTAAGCGATGAGAATTTATGAAATAATTTTAAGAACAGCATATCAAATGTCTTACTTTTATTATTAATAACTATTGCATATGACAAAACAGTAGTGTAAACACAAATTGTTAAGACAGCATATAGCTGTCTTACTACCTATTAAAATTACATTACACTGAAAATGTAATCTCCTCATAGGATCTAAAAATGAAATTGATTGACCACTGCTATGAAGTTCAGGTGAAATATCTTAAGAGACATTTTCTGACTCCCCTCTTACGCACATCTTATTTTGATTGATGTTTTGTTCTTTGCAGCACTCCACACGTCACACCTGAGAAAGACCTTTAGCTGGCCAAAACATTGGTCTTTTAGTTTTTTCACTTTCCTGTGTACAAAGGAAATAAATGGGCAGATTGTTAGAGAAGCTACTCTTTTCAAATATTGTTTCACACTGCATTTTACTTGGCAAAATAATTAGGTAGCTTGCAAGACCTTCAAGCACTAACCTGTTTACACAACTGAACATGAAGAAAGAATCGCCCTGGTCTGACTGAAGTTTACTAATACATCCCTAAGCATATTGTCAAAGCTTTATATTAAAAGCTGTGGAAAGAATTAGCTTTGGGGCCACTAAACAATCAAGTTTTGTTATGTTCTGTATTGCTTTTGTATTCTTACAGCGTGCCGTCGCCTTCTTTTGGGCTGGATACACTCTTGTCTGTATGAGGGCCACTGGAATCCCTTGGGAGCCACTTGGCTATTTTCATGTTCCTCTGAATCAGAGTCATCTTGCTGCACCGAGCAGAACTGCTTTTCTGGGTAAATGTCTTTTAACTTGCTTTCAAAAAATATTTCCAGGCATCGTCCAGCCTCAGCTACCTCTGAATCAGGCTGCAAGAGAAGGCATAATAATTTGTTATGACAGCATGTGGTTCACTTAGTAAGACATGCTCTCTCTCTTGCTAGATCTATGAAACTCTTGATTTATTATTATACTCATCATTTAAAGAATTGATACAATTTACAGTTAAATAGAAAACAACCACCCAGGAGAATGGACCGGCACAGAGTGAGAAGAAAGGTCAAGGCAATTGTATATGAAAATAAATAATACTATACATTAAATAAGAATCTTTCCAAAATGTTAAATAAACCAAAGGTGAGCATGGGAAGGCTGGCTTCTTGGTGGTATTAGGAAATAAATGGAAACCAGACATTGGGAGGAAAATCAGGTTTTTTAGATTACCTATTAATGGTGAGTAAATTTCTCTAAAAGATCAAGGTGCTGAACCCTACAGAATTAGTTTTGTAGATAGCAAATATCTAAGGACAAGCCAAATAATATTCCAAAGCCCCAGCATAGAAGGTAGGTTTTCCTGGTATGTTATCGCCATTGTTCAGGTGCAACAGACAAAGGCAACACAAAGGCAAGGATCAGCCAATTTAGTCAGTGAGTGACAATAATCATGGACAAGGAGGATAAATCAGGTTCCTGCCCATTCCTTTTAAATAACTTGCTATTTTTTTAAAAAAGAAAAACCTTCAAAGCAGAGGATCCTGTAAATAGAGATAATGAGAATGTAACATAATAGAGAATAATAGATTCTCCAGCACCACCTATTGTGGTCTCTCACTCCAGAATTACTGCCAGTATTTGTGGTATTTGCATCTTTTGTCCAGGATACTGAGAAATTGCCTTTGATTAGTGGCTACTTGCTATCTTTTCTCTAGGTTGCTATTTTTTCACACTATGTAAATCCAATTGACAATCCTGTGTTGGGATTATTCAAAATTAGGTTAAAGAATCAAGGCCCAAATAAAAATATTCAGAGATGGAGAGGAATAGTCACTGCCCACATTATTTACCCAGGTGATGCAGTGAATTCCGAATTGCAAGAACTTACATAGTTGAATGTTGCACAATTCCAGAACATTAGGCGCACATCTGCTACCAGCTCATCAGCGGTGGAGTAATGCAGCTTGTTCTTTTTCTGGAGCTTTTTCCGGATGGTGGACAAGTCCATGGGCCTTTTGATGATCTGATAATAATGTCGAGCCTGTAAATAAATATCACAATCATTCTTTACAGCTAAAAGCATTCCTGTGAAGTAGGCAAGTGTTTTTTCTACCTTGAATATGTTTTAGATTCACAGTTTTGTTTTTTATACATTTTTATTTATAAATCCCTAACATCACAACACAATGCAATACAATACATAACTTTAATGCAACAAAAGTGCAACAATTTACTGTACATAATAAGAAATTCACACAGTAACACATTTGCTTACCCACAACCATCAGAGACTGCTTAGGCAGGGGAAATGTCTTCATCTAAAATCCAACCGATTTTTTTCTGGAGAAGTGGCGGTTAAATTACTGAGACAACTCTCTGACTCAGCAGTCCCTGATGGTTGTTGCTAAGTAGATGTATTTAATGTGTTCATGAATTTTCTCTTTAACGTGTAGTAAATAATTGTGAATTGTTTTATTTTAGATTCCTTTCCAACATGGAATATGGCTTTTTCACAGCATTTACTGGGTCAACATTTTCAATGAACTATTCAACACATCCTTATGATTCCCTTCCTGCTCAAGCGTTGTTAGCTCAGACACTATTAGCGCTTGCACACACACACACACCTACAATGATGCACAGTGGGCAAAAAATTACACTTACCGGTACTTACAATGAAATGTATTTTCCATTTTGATGCCAGTTCTGGTTTGGATTTTTTTTTTTTTTAGAACTCTTCACTGTTCTTTTTTTGTGTGCTTCTAAGTAATTTTGTGTTCTCCACAAACATGGCCACCTCATCACTCACTACTAACTCTAGATTATTTATGAGTAAATTTAAAAGCACTGGTCTCAATACAGATCCTCCAGGGACCCCAAGGATTACCTCCTTCCACTGTGAGAATTGTCAATTTGTTTCTGCTCTCTGCTTCCTGCTCTCTAACCAGTTACTGGCCCCTCACCTTATCCCATGACTGAAAAGCTTGCTCAGGACACTTTGGTGAGGGGTTTTCTCATCCTACCATTTGGTGAGATGATATGGTGAGTCAAGCCAACTACAGTGTTCCTTAACTGACAAAAGACTCTCCTCCCCGAAGGGGAGGGGAGGGGTTGTGGTCGGGGCTCGAGCTTCCGGCTAGCAGGGGGCGTGGCCCCCTGCTGCCCACTCACCTGGCTGGCGCTCACGCCCCCTCGGTGGCCATCCAACCGGCGGCCACGGTGGGGGCGTGTTCAGCAGCATTTTTGCTGCAGCGCCAGCCTTCGCCCGGCCTCATTCTTCCTTCCTTCGCCCCTCAAGAGTCATCAGGCTTCTGATGAGATAACATTAAAGGAGCTCAGCTTCTCCTGCTTAGGGTGGGCGGCAGCAGAATGGGTGGGAAGAGACAGAGAGATACAATAGCACTCTACTTATGATTATAGTGACAAAACTAGAGAAATGGAACACTTCTGAGAAAGAATACTGTGAAGTAGAAAGTAGCTGTAGCCCACCATCTGAGCTGAGGGTGCCCCCAGACTGTCACTGTTTAGCAAGAGATTCAAGCACATACTGTAACTTAATGTCTGCACAGTTAAAATTGATTAAAGGGCTCTGTCACCCTAGTGCAACACATTTACTTTAGAAGAAGAAGAAGAATTGGACGTTTGCAGTTAGGAAAGTGGTGGGGAAATGCACTGACAAGTGTGAGGTGAATGAATAACTATATAAATACCCCAAAAGCAAATCAGGAAGAATGCTCAATAAACAGGTCATCTGGAGGGTTCCTAAGATCATTTTTTTAACCAAGCAAAGCTTCCTTCATACTGAAAAGCATAGGAAAATGATGTGAAATTAAATTCTGGTAACACTTACCAGAGGACTGACTGGTTCGTGGAATGGAAGACTCAGGTTGTTGCAGAGCAGTGAAAGTATCAGTTTCTCACATTTCTGTAAAATATAAGTTTTAAAATTAACTTTGGTTATAAAAGAACTATATGAATACCTGCATTAATAGTTGATATTTTGGCCAGATACTTTATTTCTCAGTATTCCACTCACACCCAATTCTAAATCAGGTTTCTCTACTTGGAAAAGTTGGAGAAACCCTTGGCTAATTTTCACTAAGCATATATTACCATTTCAAAAAGCACAAGTTTCTGTTTCATTTGCATTGCTAAAGTCCAACATTATAGCAATTATATTAATTTTTTAAATCTCTTAAATAAATTTTGTATACCGCTGGATTGTAGAAAACCTCACATTTTTGATATAAACTATATGCTTCCCCTTCTATCCTCTCCACACTCCCAGCCCCCAAAACTGAGGTGTGTAATTTGGTCCTGACTTATGTTCAGTGTAGATGGAGTCTACTGTATTTTACTTCACATTTTTATTCTGTATCGTTTTCCTTGGGACATTTGCACATATTGAAGAGACAATGTACATGTTTGGAAAAGAAGGAGGGCTCAAACATTACTCAAACATGTTTATATGCTTTTGTTGATACTGGACTTACCTTCTGATCATAGTCGTCAAGGCCATAAAGTACTCTCGCTGGCATTAGCGTGTTACTGTAGCTAAAACGTGTGTTTTCACAGTCATACGCAACCTCTGGCTTCTCCACATTGCGACAAAGCGTGCACACCCATTCGCCTCTGGAGCACAGAAGGAAAATACAACATCAGATTGTTGCTGTAGATCACTGGTCCTTGAATTAATATGCCAATGGCAGATGCCTAAGAGGAAGCCTTAACAAACACCTGTTGGAGAACAATTCTCCTTTCCTGGTCAAGCAGAAGAAGCTCATTTTGATGGATTGTGTGTTTTCTTTAACAATCAATGTGTTTAATTGAGTACAGGCATGGATGCAACAAACAAACAGCAGGAGTTGAGAAAAGAAGCCCCCCCCATCCATGCTATATCAGATTATTTCAGGGTGGATTACAGTCAATAAAATGACAATACAACATAAACAATAAAACCTTCTAAAAATTAATACACCCCACAAAATCCAATAATCAGCAGAAAAATCAACATAAACAGCTCAAATAAAACAGTAGCTAATATCGCCAAATGGTTGAGTGTATAGACAGGACTTAACTTGGCACCAAACAAAGTCAATGATGGTGCCAACACAGCTCCTAAGGGGAAGGCATGACACAACCAGGAAACTATAGTGAAGAAGGCCCTCTCTTTCACCTCCACATAGCATACATCTCCCACAGGTGGGACACACAGGAAAAAACCTCTCCAGCAGATCTTTATGCCTAGGTAGATATAGGGAAAGGCTCACCCTCAAACATCCAAGTCACAAGGCATTTAGGGCTTTAAATGTCATCACTAAACACCTTGAATTTGGGCTGGAAATGTATTAGCTGACAGTGCAGTTCCTTTAAAACTGGTGTTTATATCCTGCCCTTCCTCTCCAAGCTCAAAGACTGAGGAGTCTTTATGTTTTAGCAAAGCACTGCCAGGTTATCAACTTTGTAAGATTAGAGAGACCTTGCGCCGTTTCTTGTTCTTGCCATCTTCACCATTTGAAGATCGCTGAACAAGAGGCCTCTCTGAGATGAAAGATGCACCTCCTGGCTGCCTAATGTCACTTACAAAGCAGTAGCCACCAAATGTCTGCACCCAAGTCCCAAGATATCCTGTTGATCATCCTGTGAGCACTAACTGGCAACAGGACACATTTCAAATACAGTGGTGCCTCGCAAGACGAAATTAATTCGTTCCGCGAGTTTTGTCGTCTTGCGATTTTTTTCGTCTTGCGAAGCACGGTGTTGGGAAAGTTTTGGAAAAGCTTCAAAAATCACCAAAGTCTTTAAAAACCTCAAAAAAGGCTACCACACCGCGTTCTATGAGTTGCTCCTCGAAGTCAAGTCGCAACTGTATTAACGGTGTTAAGAAAAAGGAAACAAACTTGCAAGATGTTGCCGTCTTGCAAAGCAAGCCCATAGGGAAAATCGTCTTGCGAAGCAGCTCAAAAAACAAAAAACCCTTTTGTCTAGCGAGTTTTTTGTCTTGCGAGGCATTCGTCTTGCGAGGTACCACTGTACAGTGGTACCCCTAGTTACGAACTTAATTCATTCCGGAGGTCTGTTCTTAACCTGAAGCTATTCTTAACTAGAGGCATGCTTTCGCTGATGGGGCCTCTTGCTGCCACTGCGCCGCCAGCACACGATTTCTGTTCTCATCCTGGGGCAAAGTTCTAAACTCAAGATAATTCTTCTAGGATTGCGGAGTTTGTAACCTGAAGCATTTGTAACCTGAGGCGTTTGTAACTCGAGGCACCACTGTAGTAAGCATCCAGTCTGAAAAGAACCACTGAAAGCCATATATGAAACCTGAGTGGGTGGCACAAAGTGGATTAGATTCAAAGAAGTGGACCTTGAAACATATACCAAATGGAGCAGATATTTCATGTGCTATATGTACTCACACAGGAAAGCTGAGCAAGGCAGGAACATGGCATGAAAGATGGAACACCTTTGGGCAGTAATCACAGCACAATAGCTCTCCTCCATTCAAACAAACAGCACAGAAGTCCTCGTTCTCAATCGGGTGGTCTTCCTGGGTAAGCACAGATTTTTTCATACTATTACTGAGCCTGTGATCTACAGAAGGATGCAACACTGGCTCTGTCAGTTGACTTGTGGGGATTCTCCTTTCCTCCATGTTCTCAGGCTTGAGATTATGTCTTTCAAGTGGATTTCCTTGATTGACCTAGGATGAAAAGTAAAATCTAAATTAAAGCAGCCTACAATTTCCACATGCAAGATTTGAAATAGTACAGAAGATTAAATGCAGTGAATAAACGCCTCAAGGAAAGCAGCATTACTGCATTCACAATTGAGGATTCCTATCTCACAGTTTCTCTGTAACGCATAGCACAATAAATGAAGTAATTCCCTCAAATGATATGGTTTGGGGGTGGGGAGCTCTAACCAAGATGTCAAGTATATTTGCATTGTCCCCAGTTACATTCATTAAAAATTATGCCCGAAGCTTTAATTGGTTTAATCAATAGATTAACCAACTAATTAGTGAAACTGAGATTTTGTAGCTTGAATGGCAGCATGACCTTCAGAATAGCAGAGCCCCTTCTTCCCGTGCCAGATATATTGGAAAAGAAATGTTAAAATGTACCCTCATTCCAGTTTGAAGCCAAACCTAGAAGACATTTAGATAACTTTTGATAAGTGGTATAAATTATATAAGTAAATTTTTAAAAACACCTTTCACCTTGAAAGCACCACAACGCTTCTTCTAGCACTGTGAATAGCAGACAATAGACAGATTGTGCTCAGTTGAAATCAGTATTGCTAATGTCTTTTCAATCTAAATCTTTCTCAATACCAATGGGATGTAATCTGCACATTTTAAAAGTGGTTTCAACTCTGGCATTTTGTTTGAATAGCATTTTCCCTCCTCTGGTTCCAATTTCCATGGTCAGTGGAAGCTTCTGTTTATTACACTGTATGTTCTCTTACTCACAAAAAAAACTAGCCCCTTCTTCAATATTTTGGCTCCTATATTGAAGTCCTGGTAATATGCAAATGTATTGACATTTAAACAACCAATCAGTACTGTATAAATCCAGGTGATTAAGCAGTTTCAAAAGGCTTAAATTGGTTGATAGCCACAATCCCAAACAATATTCCTGAGAAATGTAAAGTATCTGTTAATCAATCTGTTGTTGTTGTTGTACCACCCTTCATCTGCAGATCTCAGGGCAGTTCACAACATAAAATTACAATGTTAAAATTGCAAAATACTTAATAAAAATAAGAACAAAACCAAAACAATAATCCCCCTCCTATAACACATTTAAAAGGGTATTGGATGTTAACTAGCCCAAGGCCTGGTTGTAGAGGAACCTAAATGTGCTTGGCACCTAAATGTGCATGAAGTCCCCCTACGCTTAAAGACGAGATCCACTGAATCCAGCAGAAGGATATGTAGTCCGCAACATGGTTGGTGCTGAGGATTCAGCCTTCAGTCTAAAGACCTGAATTCGTACACTCACCACCTTGTATCCAAAAGTGTTTGAAACTATACTGTGTGAACAAATGCTTGTCTACACTATCTGCAAAAACCAGCTGAGTTTTCCTGGCTCTCCCTGAACCCAATCCACCCAAACAAATGCCAGGATCTATATCAACTAGACAGGTTTAGATGTTTCTTAACAGAAGATGTTCGTGAAACTACAATTCACAATATTCCATGGATTAACACTGTAAAACTTAAGTACATCTTTCCCCAATGATCAGTTTATACCACTGTTGATGAGATATTTAGTACCCTTTGAGTAGCACAACAGTTTTTCTATGCATATTGTATGTGAAATGTTTTAGTAGAGGATGATTCTGCTTATACTTAAACAGAAATGCTTTGCACCAGTTTCAAAGTTTTTATTATTTAAACAGAGCAAAACAGATAAACTTTAATTTTTTTAAAAAATGCTGTTTATTTTTTTTATTAAAGGCAGAACTCCTATGCAGAGATCACCCCAGAGAAAACACTTGGAAGTGGGTGTGTGATAAAAGTGTCAGCAGGTCCTACAGAAAGTCAAAGTCACCTGATGCCAACCCTGGGCGGTACTCAATGAATTTTTTCTACTAGTGCAATGTTTAGAACTAGCTCAAGGGGATCCCCCGTCCTCTTGTCCCCTTGAACACTCCTTTTGCCTTCCTCAAATCTACTCTAGAGAGTTGGGGAATAAAACAGAACAAATTTAGGGGGAATGTAGGGGGAGAATGTTCTGTTGTGCAGAGAAATTCTGGCACGGATGGAACGTTCACCTTAGTGCTGCATTGAATACAACCCAGCAATTATCAAAGAAAGGTTTCACTTGTTGTGTACTGCTGTTCTGATAAACATCGAGGGCAGGAATAGACTTGAAGTCCATTGTCTCCCATTCACACAAGCGCTCTTAGTACTTTCAGCTTTCGTTAAGAATAGTGCAGGGAACCACCTATTCCTTTCTCTGCAGCATCCCGCACTACTTGCCAATGCCAGTACAGTCTATTTCTTTCTGGAAGGAAGATGCTTCCAGCTTTTGACTTACATACAGTGTTTTTGTTTCTGTATATTTCCCCTTAACAGCCGCTTGAGATGGGGGATTTAAACATGAAGGCATCAAGAGATACGATCACAGATCTTACTTGTCATTCGTAGTCTGGCCCTAAGTGTATTCAAATCTGCTGGTCAAAGGCATCAGTGAATTTGAATGTGTCAGAGTAAAATAGAAGCAATGCCAAACAGCAACCAAACCAGCTGAGTTGAGCTGAGCTTACCTTAATAGCCATGCTTGAAGACTGAGTACCACATTCAATTATCAGCAAGAAAGTTCCATCATGTTCACTCTTCTGTGGTTGCAGTTTAAATACTGGAAGTTCTCCAGACTCTGAGTTGCATATCTTCAGTCGTTCCAGTCGCACATAAGGGACTTTTACCTCTTTGGCACAAGCTCTAAGAACAAGGTTAAAGAGTGGATTGACTTCATCAGTGCTAGTAAGAATCATCCCTCCATTCCACCTCTGTTAATATACCATATGTTTTCACAGGTTCCCTTGTATTTTTAGATGGCTAATCAAAATGTTCTAATATGATGTTATTAATACACCTGAAATTTCAAGAATGGGCTTTCATACTTCATAATGCAGGATCAACAAATTTTCGCATATGAATGGGAGTTGTAGGCACATTTCTGGGTACAAGGGTCTTCCTATGTTGTTGTTGTTATTTAAATTTGTATACCATCCTTCATCCAAAGATCCCAGGGTGATTCACAACAGATTCCCCACAGGCTCCCTCACCACTGAAAGTCAAACCTACGATTGTTTCAACCTAAGTTTCCTCACCAGTAAAATTCACAGAATTGACATGAAAATTAATGGGTCCGTTTTACACCAATTGCTCCACAGACAACAATAATAATGTCATTATGTTGTTTTTAAAGTGATACCTTACTTCACAGATTGACGCATTAATTTCACAGATTACTAATATATTTGTTGAAGTGCATTGAGGATTGTGGTGAAAACTAATTTTTGCAACTGTTTATAGTAATTTGTTCTAGATCCTTCCCACATCTGGAATTACTTAATTTAACTGAGCTATTACAACAAATGTGATTTATATTCCTTTCTAAGAGGGAAAAAAGGATTCAATATCTTAATGCTACACTTTCAAATCGGGTGTTTCATGTTACCTGTTACTCTGATTACTTTTAATTTCCATATCAAAATGTTCCTCTTCGCAGTTATGGCAGTCTGCAAGAAAAGAAAATGAATAAAATATTTGGTGGTCTTATCCTAAGGGGAAGTTATATTTGGAATGCATGGCCTCCTTTGAACTTTGTACAGTATTGGTATGCACTAAACACAACATTCTGTTCAGACCCCTATTTGGGATTTTGTAAAACAGCCCACTTATGCCCCCAAGATCCCAATTTGAAGGCTGCCTGGTTTGGCTTTCTCTCCTCTCCCTTCACTATTGGGAAATATAAAATGGCTGTGACTCCCTTCCACCCTTTTGACTATAGTCAAATCTGCATGTACAGTTGCCCCTCTAAATGATTATTTTTTTCTTTTTGAAGAACCATATATAACTTATTAATTTTGTCCAAAATTGGATTAAATTTGCCTGCAAGGTCACCTCTTCTGAGGGCATGAATTATGCCAGGTTTTTTTTAAAGGACAGCTGCAGTGGTTGACCTGAAAGAGCAGCTATTATGGCTTTGGAGTAGGTGAAAAAAGAATTACTCCTAGTGGTATGTTGGCAACTGGTTTGAAAACTGCAGACACAAGAGAGGTATCCCTTTTACTCCCCACATTCCCATTCCATATGCTTTGGTTCTGCAAAGCTGCTCCCTTCCCCAAAGCACCAGGATTGGACAACACTAAAATCATTATCTCTGCTAGACCTGTCAGTCATGACAGGAGCTGTTTCTCCGTCCTCACTCTGTTGCTTGTTCTTTCCTATCATCCCATCCTGGCGTTGGGAAGCTTATTAATTTTGCTTTAAGCAGACACTTGCCAGCAACATTTTTAATGACTACGGGGGCAATCCAAACTCCCTCTCAAGCCACCATCCACCAGAGGGGTCAATGCAAGATCTCAGGCTGTCTCCAGCATGCTCTGTCCCATGGAAAGTCCTGTTTTCCGCTGGCAGCACTTCTGCCCCACATTTAGCAGGCAGAAGGAGGAACACCACAGCAGCAGAGTGATACTGGTGTTACTTTGGAAGCACAGGCTAGCGGGAGACCAACAGAGTCTGCCAGAGAGACACCTCAACCCAATCCAGAAGTCCACCAGCCTGGCACAAAAGGGATTTGGGGTTGCTGGGCAGAGTGCAAAGGTGCCACAAAGTGCTTCAGGGATCTCAGCTTTGATTCATGCTGTCTTGTAGAAATCCCAGTTCGCTTCTGACAAGCCCCAAATGTCTACAAGGCATCCCACCTTGGAGCGCAGGATTCACTGAATCTGATGCACATCACTATTGTGTACTATATTAACTGAAGAACCAAAAAGAGCTGGAGAAGGGAGAATCCCAGACAGATGAACTGTCAAATCCAAAGCTCTGCCTCCCTTATGCTGGCAGGGCAGAGAGCAGCTTGGTGTTTCTCCATTTCAAGGTTTCCTTTAGGGTCCAATGTCTCCCCCCCAGATTTTCCCTTCCACCAGTCTCAAAAGGTCACTCTCTGTTAACATGGGCAAGTATTGTGGATGCCAAAGAGAACAGGTAAGGAAACTAGTCAGTTTTGTGATTCAGCTTGGCAACAGAATGAATTAAATCCAGAAGGAGCTGTGTTATGTCTGTTGTGGCAAAAAAATTGCTACAAAAAACAGAAGGAACCTTAAACATTAACAGATTTATTATTGCATAAGCCCTTGTTGTAGCATGAAGTGTAATCCTAAATTTGTAACCATATAAACGTATGAGGGGGCACATACGGGAGTGAGGTCATACGGGAATGAAATTGTCTTTTTGCATTTCATTTCCCTCTGATCTCATCTACGTATTTCCACACACAGGCCATAATGCCAAGTTAGAATTACATTTCATGCATCTGATTAAACAGACTGTAGTCTACGAAAGCTTGTGCCGTAATAAATGTGGAAGTCTTGAAGGTGCCACACAAGCTAATTGCAGCAACGGAACCCTGAAATGACCGCACTATGCAGTGGAACGGATTTTAAAAGCCAAAGGAAGATAAAAGAAAAACCTCATACCTTCAATATGTTTTGGTTGTGGAGTAACTGGCTGCATGCAGGAAGCATTGCTGATAAGTATGGGAGGGGAGGCACATGGCTGCGTCTTCTTCACCGAAAGATTAATAGGCTCTTCCAGAATATTTTGCATGGGAAGAGATAACTCACTGATGTCTTTGGACTGAGAAGCAACAGAATCACTTCCAAGAGGGTAAGTCATGGAGCTGAATTCTTCGTTCTCCAGCTTGCAAAAAAAAAAAAAGGGGGGGGGGGTTGAAAGAAAAAAAGATTGAAATATACAAACTGGATTTTTACATCACTCTCAAGAAAAGAATTACATTGTTGAAGATTGTTGCTTTGTCACACTCTTATTTCCACACAGAGGCTGGGATCCAAAAAGGTATTTTAGGCATGCTCAACAGAACCTCTGAACCACCGATCCACATGCCATATTGCAAACAAGGTTTTGAGAAGAGGCACATGCAATTTCATGAGTTTGTATGTGACATGAAGAGAGGTTGTTAAATAAAACAAGTCCCCTCAGGCTAGTAGCTCCTTTGGAGCTAGTAGTCCCACGGTTCTCTGAATCCATGCCAGAGATTTATCCCAGGCAGCATGCAATATATATGCATAAGCCACGTTTGTACCATACATTTAAAACACTATCTTGCCACTTTAGACAGTCATGGGTTCCTCTAAAGTGTTCTGGCAGCTGTAGTTTGTTAAGGGTGCTATAAGACCCAGAGAAGTTTAACAATATCTCTTTCCACAGGGAACACTAGGAATTGTAGTTCTGTGAGGGAAATAGGGGTCTCCAGGTCAGCCATGCAGTCTGCGCTGGAGCAAGCAGCTCAAATCTCTTTGCACTGAGCTTCTCAGGTAGCTTGAAAGGGAACAAAGGCATGATTACTTAGTCCCTCCCAAGGTGAGCTAAGCCTGCCAGGACTTTATGGTCTCAAACCCTTTATGCATTCATTAGACTTAAGCATATTGCTTATATGAGGCTGGTTATCCCACAGAATCAACAGTCCTTACCTTGCAAACTGCGCTCCCCAGGGGCACACCACCGGTTGCTAAGTGGCTAAGAGCATCAGAGTTCAGGTCATTTGTAGTTCTATCCAAAGCCAGGCTGTAACTGGGCAAAACTTCAGGCTGCACGTCAGAGGTATATGGCATACTTTGGGGCTGACCGGATGTTACAGTGGATATTTCTTTTGCCTGTGAATCAACTGACTTGGATACCCTTGCTGAAGACAACTCCATGTCTAAGGCATTTGAAAAGCCCACAATGTTCAGTGAAGCTGACCGCTGAAAAAGAAGACAATGTGTAGGTTGATGTACATGCAGATCTAATTTTTTTGATGTGGGCATAAAGGCTCATCCATATTGTTGTGGACATTAAGTGCCTAATTCAGTGCCTAATTCCATCACTTTCTTTGTATTTTGTGGAAGTTTATGCTGTCAGTCCTACAAGTCTTTCACAATTACATTTTACCTATTCCACAACCTTCCGGATCTGTGTTCCTATTTCCAAACAAAACACTGCATGTTCACTCAAGGACCGCTGTGGGCAGGATTCCTGTGTTGCACAGGGTTAGACTAGATGATTCTCAGAGTTCCAACTCTACAATTATATGACTCTGTGCTATGGTGCTCTATGGTAATCAACTCTATGGTAATCAACACCCAGATTCAGAGATTAGTCTTAGAGCCTTCAGCTTTAATTTTGTTGGTGATACAGATAGATAGATGATAGATAGATGAATTCTTGGGTGCCAAGTCCAAGTTTGGGGCAAGTACTATTTGGAGAGAGATCCCCAGCAGAGTTTTAAAGTCACAAAATATGCAGCAAAGTAAAACGTGGAAATATAGGCTGTTAGTCCTTTATACCCTTCCATGTGAGTTACAAAAATTATTTCTTCCTTTGGCATAGGAAAGGACCACAAGTTTGGCAAGTTAAAAACTGATTTACTTACAAACTCTTCAAAGGTCAGATTCATGTGCTTTTCTTCACATCAGTCAGAAAAGTTGCAAAGGCATTAAAAGTTCATAGAGCTAAACCTGGCAGGACAGGTTACTCTATGGTCTTAACCCCTTCATGCTTTAATTAGACATAAGCATGCTGGTTATATGAGGCTGGTTATTCCACAAATTTCCCATTTCATTCTAATAGAAAGGCCTGGATTTTTCCTGCAAGCTACTAGGAAAGAAGAGTGCTTCTGAACCCAATGAAGATTGCTCTTTTCTTACTGTTGAAACACAGTGTCTGAATTCCATATTTCTGGAGTCAGAAGGCTAGAGCTTCTGGATGCCAAAGATTGAGGGTGCCAGCAGTAGCAAAGTTTGGAGTAGTATCCAGAGATCCCATGCTTATTGCTCTCTCATGATTGAGCCATTCACATAGACTGGTCTGATTTTATTCCCAAAGACTCTGTGGAAAGACTCCTGGTAACTTCAGAGCTACAAAGTACAGGTCTTTGCAAAAATCACCTGATGTATTTGAAACTAATACCTTTAAAGAGATTAAGTTTTACAGAGAAGAGGGCTTCTATTTTCCCTTATTACTGCTCCAGTTACAGGAAGTGTATGAAGAGAGTATAATAGATTGCATCAGTCAGTATAAAACATTAATCTTACTAAAAAGGAAAGAAAGGAAAAATGAGGCCATCAAACTGCCATCTGTCTCTCCCTGGAGGCAAAAGTTAATTCTGCGGTTATTTTAATAATGAGGAAACATTATGATCTTTCACTTTAAAAAAAAGGGTGTGTGTGTATTAAGGCTCCTGGTAAGCAGTTGACACATTCTACACTGTGATCCACAAAGCTGCTGTCAAGTGTGAAGTGAACAATGCGCTGGGAGTAAGGCTCATTAAGATCCTATTAATTCTCTCCCTAAAATAATCATTCCTTTTGGCATTAGCGGGCGGTGGGTGGGGGACCTCATCTCCCCTAGTGATTTCTACAGTACTGGATAATATGTGGTGTTTCTTTTCTTTTTATTAATGGATCAGAATTCTCTAAAAAGCTTTAATGTTTCATTCCTTGAACACAACAAATGCTACATTCATCATATACACTGTCACAGTGTGATTGCTGCTGTTAGAAAGCCTTTTGGTTCCAACATTTTAATATACAAAGTTACAAACAAGTCCATTTGTGCCATTACAAATCTTTGCACTCTGCTTGCTTTTGCCCATTCCCTTCATTTTCAAAAAAAACAACAAAAAACAATCCCCATGTTTTCCTTAAACTTTGAAAAAACACAATCTCAATTACGTACAGCTCCTGACACGTCATAACATTAATTGCAACAGCAGCTGTCCAGTAATGGTGCTCTTAATGTCAAAAGTTGTTTTTTAACCATTATCACTTATATCACACAAATTTCAGCCCCCTTTTCCATCGGCCTTACTGCATACCTTTAATAGCAGCCTCATATGCAGACATTTAGCTGGCAAATGCTGTTCCTAGCATGAAGATAAGTGACAGGGAAAGCTTAATCTTCAAGCTTTCTGCATGTCAGGCTGCTATTAAAGGCACAGGAAGAAGGCGAGGGGGGGGGCGGAAGAGCAGCTCTACTTACAATAGTAAAAAGATAATGTGCCCAAAATCAGAGTTAAAAATTAAGAGCATATTTTTATACGGCTCCATGCAAACATGCATTATGAACCACAAAGAAAGTTGGAGGTGAAAATGCCTACCTTCAATAAAGTCTTGGCTTAGGATTTGTTAAACCTACACAGATTCTTTGCGATTGTGGAGAAATTACTGAGAGCAAAGGACTGGAAAGTAACGAAGGCTGCTGTTAAGTGGAGCAATCCCCCTGGCAGCTCATTATGCTGCAAGGTTAAACAAATGCACTAATTCAAATCCAGTTGGCTCAAATTTAACTCAGAGTACACCAATAGCCTACGCATATATTCTTTTTGCTTGGCTCTTGAAGTAGAGTGCCCCTGACCAAAAGTCCCTCCAGTCTGGGGTGGGAGAGCACCTCTGTTTTCTGTTTTAAAAAATGCATCACAAGAAAATGGAGCCGGCTTGACGGTGCAAGCAGCAGAAACAGCCAGCCGAACAAGCAGCGTCATGTATTATTTATCTTCCTTTTCAGGTCACAAAAAGAAGCTTTGCTAATCTAAAACACACTGTGAAATACTGCAAAATCCACAGCATGGCAATATCTGTATTAGGCCAGTCAAAATGGCATAAAATAGTAAGCAAGCTTTCAAGTTCTACCAAACTCTTCACTGGGTGAGATGGGTAGGAAAGATGGCTGGGTGTTAAATGTTCCAGCTTCACCTGGAGCTGAGGAGGATTAAACTGTGAACCCTCAGCGTGCTCTACCACCAAGCCACCACCCTTTCCTATACAATGTACTGATTACCAGGTAATCAGTACACCAATGTACTGATTACCACCAGAATGGCAAATCCAGTCCTCCAGAATCCCCAAGATGATCAGGGTCCAAAGGATCAGATCCTAAACACTTAAACTGGGCTATTCCCTGCGCCTGCACAGTAATTTTTGGGCAGCACCAGCTTAATGCCAGTGCCTTGGACATTTAGCTGGCATGGCTTTTGCAAAGTTCAGGCCAGCTGCCAGTACAAACACAAAACCAGGAATATAAAAGTTCGTTACTAGGCATAAAGTTGTGGAGTTGGATACCGTAACCTAGAAACATTGATTCTGCAGGGGTAATCTCTTGGACACAGATTGAGAGAGGGCATCTGGATTAAAGATGGAGTCTGGACACTAGTTCCCTCCCCAGTATATGGTTCTGACTACAATAGGGCACAGACTCAATGGTATTCAGTGGAATTTCTATGTCAGTACCAGCAGGCTGCTTTTGTTGACATCAGTAAGTAGAAAATGTTGTCACCTTACGCTGATGTAGCAGTCAGTCACATTTAGCAGTGCAGGGAGCTTAAGCTTAGATCATAAAATACCATGACAATCAATCAATGCAGAAATCTAGACACCCACAGTTATGCCATGAAAAAAAAAAAGCCTAATGGTTGGAATGTCATGAATATCACCTCTTGTTTTACCAATTTGTGGATTTCTGGAACCTGGAGTTAGAGATAAGAATCCCAACATTAAAGACCCAGAAAGGAGAGGAGGTCTGTGTAGGATTTTCAGAGGCTAATGTGCAGGAAACAATGAAGATGATTATGATGATCGTGTCCCACACAATTATAACTTTACAGTGTATTAATATCTCATCTTAATTTCCTCTCTATTCTCCCAGTCCTGAGGTGAAATATCATAATTCAGCACTATAAACTAAAAACTAAAAACAAACTAGAACACAAAAACGAGATGCAGAGCATATATTTGATGCCCAAGTCTAAGGTTCAATCCTGGCGTCCCCCGTTTTAGGATCTGAGCTGTTTGGGAGTGGGGCAACTCTCTCCCAGAGAATTTATGATATTCATAATATAATCCAGTGTACGTGTAGTATGAGGATCATTGCTCTGAATGAGTGCACAGCAACTCCTTTTAAAAAATGACGATCTTCAATTGAAATGTATGTGCATTTATTCAAATGTGACTAGTTAACACAAGTTTCCAGAAAGACTTAATTAGGAATGCAGAACTGATTGGGAGGGGGAGTACAGAATAGCATTTTTCTTTAACTAACTTCTTAACTAACTTCTTTTTCACTCCCTCCCTGTTCATCAAATGATTGAGCCAATGACTGGGGAAGGGGCCATTTCTATCTTCAGCCTGCTGGGCTAGGCCAAGAGGTTTAAACTTCTCCATGCTATGTGTCTACTTTATATACCCCCCCCCCATTTTTTGACACTGTCCAAATTGATGGGTTCAGAAAAAAATGGAGAATGTAGATCAGGCCACAGGGCTGGGAGTTAGCCAAACCTGCTATATATTTTGCATGCGGTCCACAGATTTGACTCCGGAGTAGTGCTTTTCTTGTAGGAATGTTGCATTTAATGTGCACTCAAAGAAGTACAACATTCTGTACTTGACACACCATAAATTTGAAGCACATCCCCACCATCACCCCTGCAAAAAAGAGAGAAAGGTATTGGGAACAGTAGTTCCAAGGGCTACAGTTCCCAGCAGCCTTAACAAACTACCATTCCCAAGGTTCTTAGGAGGAGTGCTTTGAACGCTGGGTGTGAGCACAATTAGATGTGATGCTTCTCCCATAGAGTGCATAAGGTAAAGGTAAAGGTACCCCTGCCCGTACGGGCCAGTCGTGTCCGACTCTAGGGTTGTGCGCCCATCTCACTTAAGAGGCCGGGGGCCAGCGCTGTCCGGAGACACTTCTGGGTCACGTGGCCAGCGTG